CGGGGGGGGGGGGGGGGCAGCACAGGGCGGGGGGGGCTGGCGGGGAGAGACCGGCGACGTTCGGACGGGGGGGACGGCGAGGCGGGGAGGGCAGCGCAAGGCTTGGCAGCCTGGCGGGGAGAGGCCAGCGACGTTCGGAGCCGCCTCCTCAGTTTGACACCCCCCCCGCGAGTTTCGCAGGTCCTCTTTCTTGTATTTTTCTAGTTTTATGGGGATCTTATTAGGATTTAATAAAAGCCTATTAAGTGGTAGGGCCACTGTTTTGTAGGTTAGAGTAGCTTTTTAGCTGATGCTAGCAGACAAGAAAACAACATTATTTTTCTGGTATAGCAGAAGATAGGTTTTTCATTGGAGGTATTTGCTTGAAGTATAGAGTTCATGGTTTTAGTTGTTTGGGGTAAAACTCTGCAGTGTCTGGGTCAAAAAGGGTTTTAATTTCATATCAGGAAAAAACACCTTTTGTTTGGGTGTGAAGAATCCTTGGGGTATTATTATTAAGGTTAGGTTAAATAAACATTTAAGATATCATGTAGGCACACCTTTTTCCGTATTTGACCAATGAGTGAATTATTACTCAGATTATGCTCTGTAATTTTGGGACCAATTATGATTTCAGAATGTTATCTTCTTGACTATAATCAAGGCAATTTATTCGGAACAAAAGGCAGCACTAATGATGAATACAGATGTGACAGAACATTTTAAAGTTCAAAAGGGGACAAGGCAAAGGTGCCCTTTGTCCCCATTATTATTTTTCTGGATTTTAGAAATATTGCTTGGACGGATTAGAGAAGATAAATTAAGGGATTATCTATCAAAGGTTTTTTCTATAAATATAGAGCTTTTGTGGATGACGTAATGTTTTTGGTAGAAGATCCTATACAAAAATTACCCCTGCTTATAGAGAAGATAAAAGAATTTGGAGATTTAGCGGAATTCTATGTAAATAAGAATAAATCCAAGGTGATGTGTAAAAATATGACCGGTGTAAAACAAGACAAATTACAGAAGTTAACACAATGTGAAGTAGTTAAAAAGACAAAATACTTAGGTATCGAACTGACAATGAAGAATATTGACCTCTTTAAGAATAACTATGATAAATTTTGGCTTCAAATTCTTCAGGACATAAAAAAATGGAATGTATTAAACTTGTTGGTAATGGGTAGAATTTCGGTGGTGAAAATGAACATTTTACCGCATTTGATGTTTCTCTTTCAGACCATTCCAATAGTGAAAGACTCAAAGATGTTAAATTCTTGGCAGAAAGAGGTCTCAAAATTTGTA